AGAGAAGTGAATGCGAGGGTCTTAGCAAAAGGTGTGGGATTAAAATATAAAGAATCTAACACAAAGTGAGAGTTGTCACAGTTGCTTTTTGCTGATGACACTGTGCTTTTGGGAGATTCTGAAGAGAAGTTGTGGAGGTTGGTGGACGAGTTTGGTAGGGTATGTAAAAGAAGGAAATTAAAAGTGAACATAGGAAAGAGCAAGGTAATAAGTATAAAAATAAACCAGGAAACAAAAGATTGGATATGAGATTAGAAGGAGGGAGTATGGAGGCAGTTAATGTATTTAGATATTTGGGAGTGGTCTTCTCAGCAGATAGGTCTATGAAAGACAAGGGGAATCAGAGAATTGATGAGTGGTGCGCTGAGGAGTATGTGGAGACAGAGCGTTATCCACAGAAGCAATGAGGGGAATATATGAGAGTGTAGTGGTACCAACACTCTTATACAGTGCTAGTCACGGAATTATGCCGCCCCTCCCCCACACATGTACCAAAACACAAACACATACCATGAAAGATTATGGTACTGCATCCTTTACACTTAATCACATCCCTCAGCTGCGTAGGAGGCCTCTCACACAAATTCTTGAGGGTTTGGGGAGGTATATTATTCCATGCCTCATGTAGAGCAGCCTCCAGCTGTGGGATGGAATTGACATTCTTGCCCAGTAAACTTTGTTTCACTATTGATCAGAGGTTCTCATAGGGTTTAGGTCTGGGAAATTGCCTGGCCAGTCATTATAGAACCTCACTTCACAGATTTGGCGGTATAACACAGTGCACGGTCCTGCATAAAACCCGTAGCCCCACACTTGTGAAAGGCCTCAGGTAAATTGTCACACAATAACTCCAGGTAATTATACTGGTTCAGATACTGGTTTTTGGGAAGCACAATGAGTTCGCAAACACTCTGAGCACTGAAACACCCCCAAACCATGAGTGAGTCTGGGTGTTTGGTGGTCCCACAGGTGTAGCCTGGGTCTAGCGGGTCACTACCTGGGCCGGTACACACATCCCCCACAGTTACAGGTGATTGTGAAGGTTGCTTCATCACTCCAAAGTGCTTCAGACCACTGTTGAGAATTCCAGTGAAGATATTTCTTTGCATAATCCAGCCTACATTTCTTCTGTGGCTTGGAGAGGATCGGTTTCTTAACCTGGCGGTGACTACTGTAGCTCAGTTTGGACACACATCTATTACCAGTTCTTACAGACACCTCTGACAGAAGATGTGGGTTCTTTTCTTTCAATTCTCCAACAGTTATCTTAGGTGTGCTCTCTAACTGCTTCTTTAACACAGTTAAGGTGCGAACAGATGTCTTCTTCGAGGGGCCAGGCTGAGGTTTGGCAGACGGTAACTCGACACCACCACCAGCCTTGAAATGCTGCACCCAGTTCCTCACTGAATGCTTGCACACACCAACATTCTCGACTATTTCTTTCGTCTGGTCCCCAGCTTTGTGAAGCCCTATTATTTGAGTTATAGTTTCAGGTGTTAAAGACTTCCTTTTACCTATAATCAAACATGTATAGCCCCAAAACCAAAGGGAACACCGGACAAAAGATGGGGCAGATGAAAGACAAAAGTGCAACACTTCCTCTCACCACAGCAGTCACGTTAGCACTGAGGAGTCACTGTGGAGTGTGGTGGCAGGCCGTGACATCATGCTAATGGCTGCTACCCGGCATAATGCACTGACGAAAAAAGACCCCCTGTAAGGTAAGCCTTTGATTTTCATCATGGCATTATGCAGGGGCGCTCGCCCTGCATAATGCCATGACTAGCATTGTATGGGTGTGAAGCATGGGTGGTGAATGTTGCAACAAGGAGAAGGCTGGAGGTAGTGGAGATGTCATGTCTGAGGGCACTGTGCAGTGTGAATATTATTCAAAGAATCCATAGGTTGGAGATTAGGAGGTGTGGGTTTCTAAAAGTTTTATCCAAAGTGCTTAAGAGGGATTTTTGAGGAGGTTCAAACATTTAGAAAGGATGGAACAAAATAGTGATTTGGAGGGTGTAAAATCTGTAGTGGAAAGATGGCAGGGTAGAGGTCATCCTAGGTAAGGCTAGAAAGAAGGGATAAAGGAAGTTTTGTAAGTGAGGGGCTAAGACTGCCAGCAAGTATGTGTGAGCATGTTAGATAGGAAGGCTTTATGTGCTGTTGGAGTAACATTTATGAAAGGATATACATATATATATATATATATATATATATATATATATATATATATATATATATATATATATATATATATATATATATATATATATATATATATATATTCATGTTCTTACCTAAGACAGAAAAATCATTAAGGGGAATGATTAACAAAAGTGGAGATATCTAGAGGCATCGTTGATCATCATTTTGAATGCGAACATAAAATTTAACCTCCACCAACATGATTTCTAGACTATCACCTAATCAGAACCTGTCAATCAGGCAACCCCCAACTCCTGACCCCTCCAGACTATTACTACCATCCAAGCACACACACACACACACACACACACACACACACACACACACACACACACACACACACACACACACACAATGAGTCATGGTACTTGATGAGGTGTTAGAGTGGGTACCTGTGACGAGAAAGGTTTCACAGGGGTCAGTCCTAGGACCAGTGGTGTTTTTGGTATATGTGAATGACACGATGGAAGGAATAGACTCAGATGTGTCCTTGTTTGAAGATGATGTGAAGTTAATGAGAAGAATTAAATTGGTTGAGGATCAGGCAGGACTACAAAGAGACCTGGACAGGCTACAAGCCTGGTCCAGCAACTGGCTCCTTGAGTTTAACTCCGCCAAGTGCAAAGTCATGAAGATTGGGGAAGGGCAAAGAAGACCGCAGACACAGTATAGTTTAGATGGCCAGAGACTGCGAACCTCACTCAAGGAAAAAGATCTGGGGGTGAGTATAATACCGAGCATATCTCTTGAGGCGCACATCAACCAGATAACTGCTGCAGCATACGGTCATCTAGCAAACCTAAGAATAGCGTTCCGATACCTCAGTAAGGAATCGTTCAAGACTCTGTACACCATAATCGTCAGGCCCATATTGGAGTATGCAGCACCAATTTGGAACCCACACCTGGCCAAGCACGTCAAGGAATTAGAGAAAGTGCAAAGGTTTGCAACAAGACTAGTCCCAGAGCTAAGAGGTATGTCCTACGAAGAAAGGTTAAGTTATTGTACAAGCGAGCGGCCCATGTCCTTTCGCATGCTATTACATTACTTTTTAACAAGTCACTACTCAAGATGGCAAGGGTTACACCAATACATGAAGGTGGTGATCCTACATCCAAAATCTTTGAGAAACTCGTGCACAGGAGACTATATTAATTTATAACGGCACAAAACATACTCAACCCCTGCCAATTTGGATTCAGGAAAAATAAAAGCACTAATGATGCAATCATAAAAATGCTAGATCTGCTTTACACAGCATTGGAAAATAAGGAATATCCACTAGGAATTTTTATTGACCTAAGAAAAGCTTTTGACACAGTAGACCACGACATCCTACTCCACAAACTTGATCATTACGGTATAAGAGGCCATGTGCTTGCTTATTTCAAATCTTACCTTACTAATAGGTATCAGTATATCACCATTAAAGACACAGCATCAACAACACGGCCACTTGATACTGGAGTTCTGCAGGGAAGTGTCCTTGGTCCCCTGCTCTTCCTCATATACATCAATGACCTTCCAAAAACCACCTGTTCACACTTACACTCACTCACCCACTTGTCTATAATCACTAATCATAAGTTTGCCTGTGATACTACAATATAGAACCTGTGTATTGTGCCCAAACAAAAGCATTTAAATTGCTAAACTCACAAACTATAATGTAGTCACTTAGCCATAATACCAACTTATTCCATAATTTGTAATAATTTAGAGTTGAAGAATTAATCTAAGTCTGCCCGTGCTAGGTGTCCTAGTGGCCCCCTCTGTAATGCCTAGCCATGCTAGGTGTCCTAGTGGCCCCCTCTGTAATGCCTAGTCATGCTAGGTGTCCTAGTGGCCCCCCTCTGTAATGCCTAGCCATGCTAGGTGTCCTAGTGGCCCCCTCTGTAATGCCTAGCCATGCTAGGTGTCCTAGTGGCCCCCTCTGTAATGCCTAGCCATGCTAGGTGTCCTAGTGGCCCCCCTCTGTAATGCCTAGCCATGCTAGGTGTCCTAGTGGCCCCCTCTGTAATGCCTAGCCATGCTAGGTGTCCTAGTGGCCCCCTCTGTAATGCCTAGTCATGCTAGGTGTCCTAGTGGCCCCCTCTGTAATGCCTAGCCATGCTAGGTGTCCTAGTGACCCCCTCTGTAATGCCTAGCCATGCTGGGTGTCCTAGTGGCCCCCTCTGTAATGCCTAGCCATGCTAGGTGTCCTAGTGGCCCCCCTCTGTAATGCCTAGCCATGCTAGGTGTCCTAGTGGCCCCCCTCTGTAATGCCTAGTCATGCTAGGTGTCCTAGTGGCCCCCTCTGTAATTAGTATTTTATAACATGTAAACCCAGCATTGTGACCCTTATAGAGAATAAACTTGATTGATTGATTGATAAGGGAAATCGGCCTGACGACACTGGAGGACAGGAGGGTCAGGGAAGACATGATAATGACATAAAATACTGCGAGGAATTGACAAGGTGGACAAAGACAGGATGTTCCAGAGATGGGACACAGAAACAAGAGGTCACAATTGGAAGTTGAAGACTCCTATGAGTCAAAGGGATGTTAGGAAGTATTTCTTCAGTCATAGAGTTGTCAGGAAGTGGAGTAGCCTAGAAAGCGACGTAGTGGAGGCGGGAACTATACATAGTTTTAAGACGAGGTTTGATAAAGCTCATAGAGCAGGAAGAGGACCTAGTAGCAAACAGTAAAGAGGCGGGGCCAGGAGCTATGAATCGACCCCTGCAACCACAAATAAGTGAGAACAGACAAGTGAGTACACACCACACACACAAATACATGTAAATTACTCACGTCAGCTTGTAGCATGTTATAATGTTCTTCCTTGGCACAGAGAGATTCCTTGAGAACAGTTATGTGTCTTTGATAGTCTGTATGTTGTTCTTCTAAGGTCTTCATTTTGGCTGAGAGAGCTAGGATCTCTTGATCTCTCTTCTGTATCTCCAGACGAGATTCTTCAAGCTGAGGGAAGTATGGTGGTGTTAGTATGGTGGGGGTGTATGCACTGAGAGGTATGTCTCAGTGTGTATATGCTGAGAGGTGTGTATGTCTCTGTGTATGCACCGAAAAGTGTGTATCTCTCAGTGTATTTATACAGAGAAGTGTGTCTCTCAGTGTAAATGCAGAGAAGTGTGTATATCTCATTGTATTTACGCCCAGAGGTGTGTATCTTTCAGTGTATATACACTGAGAGGCTTGCATCTCTCACTGTAAATTCACAGAGATATCTCAGTGTATATACACAGAGATACTTCATATCAACAACTATTCCATAATAAACACTCAACATCGAACTGGGATCCTTACAACTACAAGTCTTACTTTTAACCACTGAGCCTCAGTTCAGTGTAGCAGTTGGCCTAAGGGGCTCTCTAAATTTCTACTGGTGGAATCTCTGTCACTATTACTCGACACATTTTGACCAGGAGGTGAAGGAAGGGGTGAGAAAGGTAAGAAATGAGAGATAATTATGTGTTTATATTCGGCTCCTCGACTTCCCCTTACTCCATCTCCACCTCCCTCTTCCCCTCCCATCCTCTCTCTCCCTCCCATCCTAACTCCCTCCCTCACGACCTTCCTTCATCTATGGAACTGACCAATGAGGTGCTCCGACATACCAGACAATGCCCCATATTGAATACCCAGCGAGGCGTAGTGAGTCCCCGACTTACGAGCAGTGTAAAGTTTTTTCAACTTATGAACAACTTAAGTTTAGCCGCTTTGACTTTCAAAACAATAATAATTATAATGATAATAATAATTCCCTATTACCAGGTGTTCCACTGCCCCTATGGTTTAGCAAATCGACACAAATTCCATTATTTATAAGCCTCTTGCTCGTAAGCAAGGACCCTGAGTGCTCGTAAGTCGAGAACTTGCCCTACAGGTAGGCCTAGATGGGTACATCAAACTGGTGCAGGCTTGTTACACTGTCTGAGGCAGTTACTACGAAACAATCCATGCAAATCACAGCCTCAACTTACCTCTTAGCACCCCAACAACACAGTTACGAACGCACGACGCCGTCGCGAGGCACCGTTCAACATCTAAGTTCTAAATTCTAAGTTCACAACACGAAATTCTGAAGCAAATTACCAGGCAGGTTATTAACCTTGCCTTATAAGTTGCTTAATGAGGCGTTAATTGCCCTTGGGGAGCCGTGACGTCATTTGTATACAGGGAGCCATGCCCCCCTTTCTCACAGCTGATTTTGTTATAGGATTTCCATTGAAGCTTAAAAAATTCTGATATTTTTTTTATAACAGGGAAAAGCACCCAGTTTTTTAAGTTAGCAGCCTAAATTTTCTTAAATATATATATATATATATATATATATATATATATATATATATATATATATATTATATATATATATATATATTATATATATATATATATATATACATATGAATATCCAAGCTTTTGGGCCTATTTCTCAGACATATAGTGCACCCATATGCTCTAAGGTGCACAATAACTATCCACTACCATCCAGATGATGGCTACGGAGTGCACAACAAACTAGCCACATCTTGAAGACTAGATACAGAGGCTGAGTGGGTAGAGGTATGTCCGAACCTTTATGACACAGCATAATCCATGACTGTCTGGTCTTAATCCACCAGGACAGAAGTCCTGGTTCACTGGATTTTTGACAGGAAATAGTGGTAATTTCTGATCCAATCTGGTTTTAACACTGAGTATTACATAGAAGCCTGGCTGTTACATGGGAGTCCAGAATGTTACAACTGAGCCTGGCTGTTACATGGGAGTCCAGAATGTTACAACTGAGCCTGGCTGTTACATGGGGGCCCAGAATGTTACAACTGAGCCTGGCTGTTACATGGGGGCCCAGAATGTTACAAGGGAGCCTGGCTATTACAAGGGGGTCCAGAATGTTACAAGGGAGCCTGGCTGTTACAAGGGTCCCCAGAATGTTACAAGGGAGCCTGGCTGCCCTCCATGACATCACGGCGCCCAAACTGTGCAACTTACTTGCGATTTAGCTTTGTAAATTTCCCAGGGTTAAAATCAATTAAAGGGAAAATAGAGTAAAATTCGGGTTTTGAGTCAATTCACGGAAAATTTTAGAGTAAATTTTCAGGGTTAGAGTAAATTTCGGGGGAAAAATTTTATAGTAAATTTCAGGGTTAAGTCAATTCAGGGGAAAAAATTTTAGAGTAAATTTTCGGGGTTTTAGAGCCAATTCAGGGTTTAATTTAGAGTCAATTCAGGGAAAAATTTAAGAGTCAATTCAGGGTTAGATTTCAATTCAGGAAAATTTTAGAGTAAATTTCCCGGGGTTTTGAGTAAAATTCGGGGGAAAAAATTTAGAGTAAATTCTTAGGGAAAAAAATTTTAGAGTAAATTTCCCGGGGTTTAAAGTAAATTTCAGGGATAATTTAAGTAAATTTCAGGGTTAAGTCAATTCACGGAAAATTTTAGAGTCAATTCGGGGTTGAGTAAAATTCAGGGTAATTTAGAGTCAATTCAGGGAAAATTTTAAGAGTAAATTCAGGGTTAGGTCAAAAATTCACGGAAAATTTAGGCCCAATTCGGGGGTTTTTAGAGTCAATTGGGAAAATTTTTTAGGTCAATTCAGGGATTAATTTAAATTTCAATTCAGGGTTAAATTTAAATTCAGGGAAAATTTTAAAAGTAAATTTCCCAGGGTTAGAGTCCCAATTTTTTAGGATTAATTTTAAAAAAGAGTCAATTCGGGGTTAGAGTAAATTTAGGATAATTTAGATTTCAATTAGGGAAAATTTTTTAAGAGTCAATTCGGGGGTTTTAGAGTAAATTTCAGGGATAAATTTAGAGTCAATTCGGGGTTTTAGGGGTAAAATTCAGGGTTAATTTAAGTCAATTCAGGGATAATTTGGGAGTAAATTTTAGGGTTAGAGTAAATTCACCGGGATAATTTAAAGAAATTCGGGTTAAAGTAATTAGGAAAATTTTAGAGCCCAATTAAGGGAAAATTTTTAAGTCTTTTCCGGGGTTAGGGTCAATTCAAAAGATAATTTTAGAAAAAATTTCGGGTTTTAGAGTCAATTAAGGGGGAATAATTTAAGTCAATTCAGGGTTAAGTCAATTCAGGGAAATAATTTAGAGCAATTCGGGTTTTTGGGAGTCAATTCAGGGAAATTTTTCCCTTGGGGTTCCAAAATTTCGGGGGAAATTTTGGAGTCAATTCAGGGTTAAGTCAATTAAAGGGATAATTTGGGAGTAAATTTTCAGGGTTAGAGTCAATTCGGGAAATTTAGAGAAATTTTCGGGGTTTTTTTAAAGAGCCCAATTTGGGGGTTAGAGTAAATTAAAAGGGATAATTTAGGGGTAAATTTCCGGGTTGGGGCCCAATTCAGGGATAAAATTTTTAGATCAATTCAGGGAAAATTTTTGAGTCAATTCATTTTTTAGGGTTTCCCCGGGATAAATTTAGGGGGTTTCAAGGGTTTAGGAGAAATTTTCCCCTGTATTTCTTAAATTAGTTTTAGGGGGGTTAAATTCCAGGGGGTAAAAGGGGCAATTTAGGGTTTTTTTTAAAATTGGAAATTTTCTCTGGGGCAATTGGGGTTTTAGAGCCAACAAGGAAATAATTTGGGGGGGAGAATTTTCCGGGAAATTAGGACATTTCCCGGGGTTTAGGGTCAAAAGGTTTTAAAATTTCCCGGGGGAATTTAATTCGGGAAATTTTGAGAATTTTAGGGTTGGGAGAAAATTTCCCGGGGCGATAAATTGGGAATAATTTAGGGAAATTACCCCTTGGGGGGGACCGGGGAAGTTCCGGGGTAAACCGCCCCCGCCCCCCGTCTGGGGACCAGGCCCCCTGGTGGATCAGGGGGCCTGATCAACCAGGCTTTTTTCTGCGGTTTGAAACGCAAACCAACATACGGGGGCCAACCCCGGCCTGACCCGGAACTGATTTTTAGGTGCTTGTCCATTCCAGCTTGAAGACTGCCAGGGGTCGTTGGAAATCCCCCTTTATTTTTTTTGGGGCTGGGGGGCAGTTGAACAGCCCGGGCCCCCGACACTTATTTTAGGTCTTTTAACGTGCAAAGTGACACCCGCTTTTCATTGGGGGGATGGTGCATCGTCTGCCAAGTCTTTTGCTTTCGTAGTGGGTGATTTTTTGGGTGCCCACCCCCCCTTTCTATTTCCCCCCCAGGGTTTTCCCCGGTGTTTATAATTTATGTATCTCCCCCTTTCGCCCAGGGAAAAAACAGGGTTTTGGAAAACCCCAAAACGCCCCCCAATAAAAAAGGGGTTTTTATCTCCCTTTTTTCGCGCCGTGAAAGTTTTTTCTGTAATTTTTTAGGTCGGCCCAATTTTTACTGCCTTGAAAGGTGCTGTTTGGTGCAGCAATATTCCAGCCTAGATAGAAACCCAAATGACCTGAAGAGTGTCATCATGGGCGGGGGGTCCCCAGTTTTGGAAAGGGTTTTCATTAAACCCCTTTTCCCGTCATTTTTTTTAGCAGATGCGATTATACAATGTTTTTGGGCCTTGAAGGGGAGGGTCCTCCCACATTTTATCACCCCCGGTCTTTGACGTTGGTGTTTTCCCCCTCTATTTTGTGGCCAGAATTTTGGGTTTTTTACTCTGATGAAGATTTAATTTCCTATGTTTATAACCCTTTCTGAGTAATTTTAAATTTCTCCCCTTTGTTTAACTTTTTAAAAATTTTTTTCCCGCAAAGGGGCCCCCTGAAAAAATTTGTTTGATGTCTGCCTGGGGGCTTTGCAGTGTCTGCAAAGGGAAAACAATTTTTCAAGCAGGGTTCGGGTGTCATCTTCAAAGGAAGACCCGGTTTCTGTGGGGTTACATCCTTTTCTATGTGGATATAAGGGTGAGGAACAAAAGGGGGGCGAGTACTGTTCCTTGTGGAACGGGTTTTCACCGTAGCTGCCCGGGGCTTTTTCTCTGTTGAACTACTCTCTGTGTTTTTTAGTGAGGAAATTATA